GGCTGAGATCTTGCGTGGAGCCCCAGATCGAGGGAGATTAGTAGTGGTCTTGTATGTCTTCCATTTTCTGATTATCATTTTCTGTTAACGACTTCAAACAGGTGCCATTAATACAGGTAATGAGTGGGGGAAAGAGGAGCCTCTTAAAAAGAAGTTACAGGTCTGTGACAGCCAGAAATCTTGCTTGTTTGTAGGTGACCAAATACTTATTTTCCACCATTATTTGCAAAAAAAATTCTTTAAAAGTCAGACAAAATGATTTTCTCAAAATATTTTTTCACATTTTGTCTCTCATAGTTGAGGTCTACCTATGGTGTCAATTACAGGCCTCTCTCATCTTTTTAAGTGGGAGAACTTGCACAATTGGTGACTGATTAAATACTTATTTTCCCCACTGTACCTAATCCCCTCCAGTAAGTCCTGGGTCTTCCCTGAGACCTCCTACCAGTGGGACGTGCCCCAAACTCCAAACTATTCTTAGCTCCTCCTAGATGAAGGAGCTCCTCACCCTATCTCTAAGGCTGAGCCCAGTCACCCTACAGAAGAAGCTAATTTCAGTCACTTGTATCTTTCTGTCATGATCCATGCCTCTTGACCATAGATGAGCGTTGTAATGTAGACAGARCGGTAAATCAAGAGTTTTTCCATTTGACTCAGCTCTTTCTTCACCATGACTGACTGAAACAATGCCTTCATTACTGTCCTACCATCATGCATGTGAATGACAGTTTATTATGACCCCCGCACGCGGAGTGTAAGCGGGAGTCATATTGATTTTGTACTGTTTTCTTTTTCAGTGATTTTTGGTCAACCGTAGCACAAAAATGGCTGCACCAATAACATGAAATTTGGCAGGGCTGTAGATGAGTCTGACCTACACTGAGCCAGCCAACGGTTTTATAATACACCCCATATTTGAGGAGGGGGCTCCTTTCAAATAGGGGGTGTCTGGACATGCAAAAATGCTTATAACTCAGAAACTGTTCAACATAGAAGCTTCAGATTTCTTTTGTTGTTTAGCTCTGATGAAGCTCTATCCATCAGGCCCACCAATCAGTGCCCCCCTCCCTCGGACCCCCAATTTTTCTGAAAAAGGGGTATCTGGACATACCAAAATTATTATAGCTCCAAAACTATTAAACATAGGAGCTTCAAATTTTCTTTGGTTGTTTAGCTCTGGTGAGGGGCAACAGGTCAAACAATGCCCCCCACCCCACCCCAAATAAATAAATAAATAAATAAATAAATAAATAAATAAATAAATAAATAAAAAAAGACCCCCACCCAAACCATTACAATTTTGGGATGCACCTAGTAGCATGACATTAGGAATAAAGACTTCTGAGTTCTGGTGCATTTGTGCGTGCGGGGGTCATTATGTTACCGCTTTGCAGTATCTAGTTTGCCAACAGCAAATTAGTAACAAACTAAAAGACCAGAGAATTTCTTCTAGAACAAAACTTTGTATGCAATTTTCCCCCACATAAACTGTGATTTATAAAGGTGAGGATGTACGCTTTTCTCTTTGTGGAAGTATAACAATGAACTGGTCAATCGACTGTACTTATAAAGCCAACCAGGCTCCAACAGCTTTACAATCGAATCTGGACCCTCATTCACCATTCAGAACCACATTTATACAGCAGTC